CGTCCAGCTATGGACCTGCACTGATCTGCAGGGTCAGGAATCAAAAGACACTTTAAGAACTAACACAAAGTTGCTTTTAAATATTCTCAGGAAGAAAATCCCACACTACCCCTAGCTATCCTATTCAAACAGGTACATTTTAATCTTAGACCATAAAGACCCTTAATTTAGGCAAAGTGGCAATGTTCCTGCAATTTACAGTTAGCCCCATTGCCTCATGTTCTAAACATCAGTTACAAATTTTTAATTGGGCCAGAGCTGACATTCTGCCGACCAAAAATAAATAAATAAAAGTGTACTTAGCTCAGAAAACCAAACGTTAATTGGGCCAGAGCTGACATTCTGCTGACCAAAAATAAATAAAGTGTACTTAGCTCAGAAAACCAAACTATCTACAGTTTAAGCTTAAATAGGTTATTGCACACAAAGCTTTCTACTGATTTAGACAATATGCTTAACAGAAGTTTATGCATAAACAGATGCCAGCACCATCAAGATTTTGTACTGCTCGCAATATTTCTCTTTACAATACTTGTTACTCAAAAGGTCATGTTTATGTATAAACTGTGAATAAAAAGTTAGCAATGTTAGCTTGTATAATAAAACCACAGACCCAGAAATTGTGGAAACTTACTGTTAATGGTAGAAACTAAAGAAAGCTTAAGTTGTTAAAGTCTTCCACATTACGACATTTTACCTACTCTACACACTTCAGATTATAGTCACAAACTCCTCCTATTTGCACTAGCACAGGAGAAAGAGAAGTTTGATAAACAGAAATCAGTTTTCTGATTTGGAAAAAGCCAACTATTTATATCACTAGCTGTATCACAAGCCTACATTTTTGAAAAGAGCTCAAAGAGGTTACTGTCAACTAGCTATTCAAGAATGGCCAAGATCTCATTCACGCTGCAGAATAAGGCCCATGTTCAGTGAACAATGCATGTAAGTGTCCAAAAGAAGCGGACACAGGAGAAGGATTTGTACTTAGGCTCCATTAGTCATTTTTTTCATAACCACTTCCCACAAAAGACTTTGCAGGCCGGCAGACCAACCAGGTAATACATATTTAGATTCTTTTGCAAGTATGCACAATATCCCTGCATAGAATGAGAACTGTAAGAGATGAAAGCCACGCTGCTCCACGCTCTTCTGCCTCAAGTTCAGAATTGTGAACACAGGGAACTTCAAAGGGTAAAGCTGGTCTAGCCAGCTCCTATGCCACCAGGAACACAGGGTGTGGTGGGGACAGGGCTATCTCCAGCTGCCAGTTTTAAAGGCCATTGCCATCATCTGGGCTACAGCTTCACTGCATCTAAGGGGTTATCTGACACATCCCTTTCTGCTTGTACTTGGAGGAGCTCTTCTGCTGTGCCAAAACCATTCTGGGAAGAAAACAGTTAAATAAAGTAACATATCTGAAATGGTCCATTCCTAAAGCTGCTCTAGTGCAAGTATTCCTGAAAAATGTGCTATTATTCTATGCATTAAAAGACCCCAAGTGACCCCAAGGGGGGCCTTTCTACTGAGGGAATTAGCAGAGTAAGATGGCTCGGGATGTAACACGCACATATGGAAAAGGCAAAACAGCAGTTCAAACACTAATTTGGTCATTAGTATGTGAGCCATAGCCGAAAAAATAAACATATTCCACCTTAATAAAAGAAAGGAGGAGGTTGGGAAATCTGCCTTGCAAAAAAACAGACAAAAATAAACATAACTACCCCAAATATAGACAAACATATCAAGCAAATGCTTCACGGAGCAAAACTAACTCATTCACGTTCCCACAGGCAGCGTTGCCAAAGTGGCTTTAAGAAAGGCACAAGTGAAAACAAATGAATTACTGAATACAGGGAAAAAAAAAAAAAAAAAAACACTTCCTTCTTCCTGATCTTCCATTAAATGAAAAGCAGAAGATCCAAACATCACCTATGCCTCCCTGTCAGTCAAAACAACAAACCTAAGAACAAACCACCAAAGAAACATTTTTCCAGTTCTGATGCAATTATTACAAGAGGCCCTGATAACACCTCTGTCAGAAAAAGTACTGGTAAAACAGGCCAACCCCTGTGGTTTTTGAGAAGTAATAGAGTTTACCAAGGCAGACTCACCTGGAAGAGGCAAAGACTTTAGTTTTAACTCCCTTGTACCAAAAACGCCTTAGTTATTCCCATAATTACACCTGCAGCCACACAGTAATCCAGTCACACCAAGAGCCAACATCCAGTCGTTTAAAAGACCTTTACTCCAAACTTCCAAGCATCGCAATTAGTTTTTCTGTGATTTTTTTTCCATAAAGACCCCACGACACCTGTTCCTGAGCATCCATCCTGCTCCCCTACCCAGCTCCTTCTGGGGGTGTGGGAAGACCCTCCAGCTCCTTAACATCCGACCAAGCCTTGGGACACCAACCGCACAGCGCAGATTAACGAGCGGGGACGGGTCCGCAGGAGAGCCCAGTACTG